GGCAGGAGATGCCTGTTCTGTGGCAGGAGATGCCCACCCTGTGGCAGCAGATGCCCACCCTGTGGCAGGAGATGCCCGCCCTGTGGCAGGAGATGCCTGCCCTGCACTCGTGCCCCACACGTCCTCGGGCTTTGGAAGCACACTGGTTTGAACGGCGCGGCCCCGAGCGCTTTCCTGGAATTCACCTTCCCCACCGTAACACGCAGCCTTGATTGCCGGGAAAGCAGGAACAGCTACTCAGGGGGACACTCCTCAATCAGCCCGTTGTTAACAAATGGGCTTGTATTAAAAAATAGATCTGTAAAGCGTTACCTTTAAAAATGTTTAAATGCTCGGTCTGTTGGCAATTTTGTGTTTTGAAAATATTCTTAATATACTCAATTTGGGTGTGTAATTAATAGCTTTGACAACATTTTTAATAACAACACGGCTATGGAAATATCCTGAATGTTTTGAACCCCAGGAAGAAAAGTGTGGGTTTACTTTTTTTTTTTTTGCTATCTTATTCAAATTACTGTCATCAGAGTATACAGCGTTAAACCTGTTGCTACTACAGCTGGATCCAGAGCTCCCAGCTTCGCCATACCCGAGTGCAGTTCCTAAAAAAGGGTTTGCATAACGTTAAATACTCTGCATTTCACATGTATTCCGTAGGTGGGCTGATACCGGCTCCCGCATTGCTAGACCCATTCTGAAGTTCTCCACTACTGAAAGTGTTCTGAGTCCTCAAGGAGAGTACAAAAAGTACCTGCTCTGTCGCTGATCTCACCTCGCAAGACACAGAAATAATTCTGCAAGCTTTCTGAAAGTGATGCTGCAAATACCTAAACAGAGTCTCCTGCCGTTGCTGAATATGTTTATGTATAGTCTAGGCAGACAGGTAGACACAGAATGCTTTTTCGGCAGCCGTAAGCCTCTGTTTTCACAAGTAAGAGATACCTTTGGGGCTCCAGGAAGAGGCTGCCCAAGCAGTAACACCAAGCAATTCTCTAAATCCTTCAAAATGCCTCAGCTAAGCAGTTTCCTATTGGACAAAAACAGGAAAGCGGAGCTCAAACTCCTGCAGTCAGCTCAAAACCACAGTGTACTTACCACTGCGATTCCTATGATCTATTTATGTAGAAGAGCAATAAAGTACCAGGGCTCCCCTTTCCCCCTTTCTTCTGTGGTTTGGTTTTGTTTTGTTTTCTGTTCTTTTTTTTTTTTTGCCTGTGTATAACCACAGTTAGGAAAACCAGCTAGTTTACAAACAGCCAGTTCCTTGGGTATGTGCTTATGCCTGGTAATTTGTAGCTCTATTCACATTCTAAATGGGATTCTTTTCACTTTAATGCATGGTCACTTGTTTTTGTTTTGGTTGTCATGAAAACGAGGGATTTCTTGCTGGCTGGCAGAAAGAAACCTCCTAGTGAACAAAGTTACAACTAATTCCTCCAAACGTGTTCCCAGAGCCATCCATCCATCTGTGAAATGGGCAACGGAGTTCCTTGCTTTGAGGAGTCCAAAAAGATGCAAAGCTGAAAAAAACTTGGACCCCTCAAGGCTAATTGAGCAAGTATCTTTTTTTTTTTTCTTTTGCCATTCGTGCATTTGAAAATGTTCCTGTGTTTTCCACGGCAGGTACGATGGTGCCTGCAGAGCCCCGTGCTCTTGTCCCTGTGTCGTGCTGTGTCCTCCCAGAATGCTTGCAGGAGGGAGTCCCTCGGTTTCCTTTGTGTCCCATGGCATTAACAGCTTCTGGTTTACCGCAGACCGGTGTGACATGAGTTGTGAAAATGCACGCTGTGCATGCCAAGATGTAATCCTTAAACATGTTCTACCCCCTTTTCACTTCCTGCTCCCGTTTCTTTTTTGCCCTGCCGCTGTTGAGAAAGGTACTTCCCAGCCCCTCTCCCTTCCTAATGACCACGGCCAATTGTGCACTGATTTAAATAGGAATGACCTTCATTTTC